TCTCTCCAGCTTGGTGCCCGGCGCCACCGTCACGGGGAACCTGTGCACTGAGCCGGGCAGCAGGGAGAGGGCATCAGCGGGGGCAGAGGGCAGGGAGAGGGCAGGGGCAGAGGGCAGGGAGAGGGCAGGGAGAGGGCAGGGGCAGAGGGCAGGGAGAGGGCAGGCAGGGGCAGCAGGGAGAGGGCATCAGTGGGGGCAGAGGGCAGCACCAGCCCTGTGGCTGCCCTCACCTCCCTGGCCTTCAAGCCGGGCAAGCCCTCAGAGCAGCTGCCCTGCCCATTCCTGCCACCCACAGCCGGGCTTGGCTCCGGGGCGGCTCCTCACGGAATCTCCCTCAGGAAGCAGCCACGTGCAGCCATTTTCACAGATGGGGAAACTGAGGCTCAGGGAGTTGCTGCAGCGCCCGGGCCTCAGCCTGGCGACGGGCCTCCCTTCTCGGTTAGGGGTCTCCCTGGTGCTGAGCACACTCATCCCACTTCGGAAAGGGGTGCACCCCTGGGGGACCAGTCCCCAGGGAGGGTGACAGCAGCCTGCCCGGCCCTGCGTCATCTCCACCCCCTCTGAGCCCGCTTCGACGCCCAGGACCCCGCCCCCGAGACACCCCGCGGTCCGCAAGGATGGAGGCTGCGCCCAAGCCCAGGGCCACTCACCCTCGCCGAGGGCGTAGCGGATGCGGGTGTCCCAGGCGCACATGGCCTCGCGGCTGTCGAAGCCCAGCATGACGGCCTGCGACAGGCAGATGATGGCCAGCGTGTGGGCCAGGCCCTCGTAGGCCAGGCCGGGCTCCAGGCCGCAGATGTCCTCCAGCGTCAGGCTGCTGCGCTCCCGCAGGCCCTTGGCGCGCTCCGCCCGGTCCCTGTAGGCCAGCATCAGCAGGCAGTCTGCGAGGGGCGGGCGGGGCGTCAGGGCACCAGCCAGCACCCGCCCCAGGGAGTCCTGGGTTCTCGAGGTGACTCTGAGCCAGCCATTCTGCCTCCACATGCTGGGGTCCCCCCGCCTGTTGCCAACGGGAAAGCTGGCAGCTGGCTAGCGGGGTGGGGACAGGAGTATCGACGCTCAGCCACTGAGCCACCAACGCCGCTGCACCTCCGTGTGGCCCAGAAAACCTGCCTCCAGCGCAGCCCCCACCCCTCCCCCAGTCTTTGGTTGGGGCGCAGCGTCCCGTTTAAGTGGGTGGCGCCCCGAATCCTGCAGGAAAGCACAAGACATCTCCCGGGGAGCAGGGCAGGGGCGCTGCCGCTTTGATCCCTGACCTACAGGGCGGATGCCGGGAGCCGGTCCATCTTTGCTGTTTCAAGGGACCTGGCATATATGGCACACTGTTCTTAATATGTTTGCTCCCCTTAGCGCTGTGTGTTTTAACCAAGGTCACCTCTCCGAGAAAGGTTGTTTCCCCAGGTAGGGATTTTCCCCTGAAGTTAGGGAGGGAATAAAACCTCTTAACTGCCAGGCGGGTAATTA